GCACATCAATTAGAAACATAGTTAATAAAATTGAGAAAATCACTCACTTCATATAATGGTAATCCACGATGTTCCTGGCTCTATAATCCGGAAACAGAAACGAAACAAATTACTTCCATACCATCCAATGGATCACAAATGGTGTTGACAAAAAGCGAGTAGAAACAGGTTATGTCCGATGGATTTTTGGCCACAATTCACGTCTTGACACTTGACATCCAGTATTATTAAAATTAATTCCAGTCTTTAACTCCTTAACTGCCGCGGACGTATAATACGCCTTGCTCAGCCGATGCGTTAACTGCCAAATATATATCCAAACTGCTATCATTTGCTTTGCGCTGCTACACCTAAAATTATTCGCAAGTTAACGCATAATACGCATTCCGTATATATACGCCTGCGGCAGTTAAGGGTTAATAGAGCCGCACACTATTTACTCACTATTACGCAGTTTCAGTTCAGGTAAATCAGCATACATTCCTAGGAGTTTGATGAGGTTTTTTGTTCGAAACATAGTTGATTATACATCGTAAAACAGTCCAGCACAGCAACAGTTATTCTTCAAAACCGGTAGTAATCCAGGAAAGCAGGTAAAACTACAGTTCCTTCGAGTGCTTAAGTGCTATCCCACTTCTGAGAAAATTTTTGTGGGGATTTTTAAACGATGAACAAATTAATTAACGAAAGACATTTTAATTAGACAAACGATTATTACATAAATTTAACATTTAAGAGAATTAAACAAGTAATGATTCGTCAAAGTTCTTTTTGAACAGAAGCAGCGTCTCTGCTTTCACGTCAATCGTCTATCATCTCAAAACGGTAATTCCCCTAATTTTTGCTTGGCGCCTTCGCAGCTCGTAGAGAGAATGACGTCACGGCATCTGGTTTTCATCACAGCTCCAAGCGATCGGCACTACATAAATAAAAGATAAAGCGTACATGGCTCCTAAATAAAATTGGCTCGTGTCACTGGGTCGAGGGTATTTCAGAGCTAAGTTAGTCTCCTTTCTATAAAACATTCGAAGCCACCTCATTCATTTCACATCCATCTTAAATCTCTCCTGCGCTGCTGGTGTTTTCCGTTTTTTGTTCATTCTCAGAAGGGAAATCTTTTCTTGTTAAGTGATTTTCGTTTCGTGTTAAGAGAGAAACAATGCATGAAAATACCAGGACCGTTGTATTATTTCGTGTTGACCGATATTTCATCTTGAGCGTTTTCTCATTAAAAGTATTTCACTATATTCCTGCATATTTATATTACTCATTTTCGTTGGAAGGTCTAGCTACAACTAGAAGTTCTAGCTACTTCTTGTTTGTTGTAACAAATAAACAAACAAACACTGTATGAAGTTAACAAAGACTGTATGAAGCTAAGAAGTGTAAATGTTTTTATAAGCATGTTTAATTTGTGACTTTTTTTTTTAATGCTGATATGAAAGCATTTAGTAAGAGAGCGGCTTTGCATTTACCATGTTGGAATTTCCGCAGAATTATGTAAGCTAAATGGATTTACTTTCTATGATTAATATATAATGAAGTTTTGTTAGAATAAAGTTTTAAGGTAAATAAATGAATTTGAATGCTGAATTGTAATTTGAATGTTGACTAATCAGAAGTAAATATATACTTTAGAATGTGTCAACTTAAAAAAAAAAAAAAAAATCAGTTCTGCACAAAATTTATTCTTATTTACAGGGTTCGTACGGTCCTTAAGAGTCCTTAAAAGTCCTTAAGTTTTTTGGAATCGATTTTTGGTCCTTAAAAGTCCTTAATTTCGGCCAAAATCGTCAGAAGGTCCTTAATTTTTAATCATCTGAAATTTCTGACTGTTTTTACGACTGCCATTTTGAGTGTGAAATAGCATTTTGGAGGAATATTTTTGGCAATTCTCTGACAAATATTATTATCTTTTGAATGGGTGAATGCGTTCATGGGCTATAATTTGTTCCCATTTTTAATATAAAGGGTGGGATAGAGTTTCTGAGCAAGTATGAAACATAAAGCATTCGAAATTATTTCATTTTTTCTAGTGAAGAGCTCTTAAACAACTTTTCGCTTTTGGGGATGTGAATTCTTTTATTAAATTGCTGTAAATTTGGCGACTTATTGGCGCTTTTAAGATAAGTTTCTATAAAAAATTTTTAATTCTGAGATCTGGGAATTTTTTGACGATTTTTTTAAAATATTGTAACATTGATAAGTTTCATTAAAATAATGGTAATATATTGTAATTACATTTAAGAAATAACATTAAAATAAAGCAGTTTTATTTTTTGCTCTCATATTATAAAGTTCCATTTTGGCCACTTTTTATACAATACTTTGAATCTGAAAAATAAGCAAGGTATAATGCTATAAAGCACAATTTACGAAACGGTTCTTAGCAAAAGCCAAATAGCTATGTAATTAATTAAAAATTTCCTTTTAACTTTTTTCTGGTAAGAGTTTCCTCATGTAATTGTCTCAGAATATGCGTCTGTTTTCCCTATAAAATTAATTTTACACATTTTTTATCCGATTTTTTAAAAAATATTTCTGGCTTTTTGCTGTTACCGAATTGGCAGGGGTAATTTTTCTTTAGGATTTTAGACATTGCAGCTTGGAAAGTTTAGAAAGATTTGAAGGCAAGATTAATTGACCCACTTTCTGGAAGATTCCAGAAAAATGTGGCAAAATGAAAAATGTCTCCTTGGTATTAATACATAATTTCTTACTTTTTGGAGAACATCTGGAAGAGCAATAAAAACATAATAGTTGGATGTTTTAGTTCTGATACTAGAATCGTTTTCTTAACATTTTTATCTTCCCTTTATTTTCTTTATTTTTCACTAGACACAAGCATAAAATATCAAAAATGCTTCCAATCTTATCATATGGACAGGCAATTATAGAAAATAATTTTTTATTAATAAAGAAATTGAAAACTGACAATTTAAACAATTCATCTAATATGTCTTAATGCATCATGCACACTAAATTGTGCTGCTTGGTGCCTTTGTAAATTTTGCTTCCAATGCCTGTTCTAAATTCTAAAAGTTTTGACATTTCTAGATTTTGTTGCTCGATGTGTGAATAAATTCAAAAGCTCTGTAACCAGACCTTACCATATATATTTCATATTTCTTCTGAATGTTCCTATTACTATAAAATTAGCAGCTTTCTCTGTACATTCTAAATGCATTTAGTATATAATTTCCCATTTCTATTTTCTCACCAGAATGCAAATCACTTAAACAGTTTTTAAACTGAGGTTTTTGGAGTGTAAGACAAGAATGTGTTTCTGACCTCCACTTGCTCCCTGCATTAGTTCCTGCCCGCCCTGATAATTTGCAATTATTCTTCTTTACATTACCGCTGCTGACATTTGAATTTGTTATGACAGTAGAGTTACTGAGTCAGCTTAAAATGAAATTAAATTGTATAGTCATTGATGACTAGTCCATATTTTTAGTTTGCATTTGATTCTTCTTGTTTAATTACATCACCATGAGGTGTAATTGAATTTTTTGCATTGTCCAGAGGGTTTTGGACTATTTAACTTTTACCAGATCAAGTAAACCATCATAGGTACCTTTTGGAGAGGTTGACAGGTTAGGAGATACAAAACGTAGAAACTAGTGAGAACATTGTCATGCATATTGAGACAGAGTTCTAACTATTAGAAAAGATGCTTAAAGAGTAGGAAATTGATATAAATTAGCCAAAATGTCTGGGAAGACTTCAACTTAAAAAGACGCATAAATATCTTGTTGAGTGTTGTTGCTACAAAATATAAATATTTTGTAGCTTTTAATGTGTATATCCTAATATCGTTTAAGAATCAATGCCATAAATTACATGTATTTTAAACTGTGAAATTTTATTAGATTGTGATTTAATAATGCTTTTTTAACAAATATTGTTAAAAAATAAATTTTAATAGTGGCCATGTAAATCCATAATGACTAAGGTTATCTAATACCCAATTTAATTACGTATAACTAACTGGTTACCTTTAAAGATTATCTCTGAATTTTAAAGCAAGTTATTGCCTTTCATTATTCTTATCGTGGCCACAAGATAAAACACAAAAATGTAAAAATTCATGTAAAACCTATTCTTCGCATCTAGTGAGACTTAAAATAAGGCAAAACAACTTGTCACCTCTGGTGCTCCTAATAATCTCTTAGTGGATTATTAGGACCTTAAACTATATTAACTGAGTTACAATCCCTGGAACTCTACAAGAAGCTACGACACTAACTGCGTCAGACAGACCTCAGCTAACTTTCAAAATTGCGAACCGTGCTTACATCAGGCCTTAAGGTTTGTTCTGATCATCAGGTCTCTCCTAGGCAACCAGGAGCGGCGACAACAGCCAGTCTTTTGTTTTGAATCATGCTGATTGTGATTTTACTTTTCACTTTAACCTATGCCACTTGACATAAAATCTACTTATTATTTACTAAACTCATAGAGTGTGTAAGTATGTGACAAAATGAGACATTAAAAAAAAAAAAAAAAAAAAAAAAAATCAAAGCTAACTGTTAGTAAAAGCTAAATAAAATGTCACTTATCTTCTTTCAAATATGTCCAGTTAGTATGAGTAAAATATTTAATGATAGATTTCATAAACTTTATTTTATTCTCAAACTTACTAATAATTATATTTAATACTAATGCATCCTACTTATGGATCTATTTTATTTTTAGGATGGTATTACAAAAGTGAAGTTCAGCATAGATAATATTTTTAATTGAATTTATTCATTTCCCATTTGCTTATAGGTCCTTAATTTTTTCATGAATGGTCCTTAAAAGTACTTAAAAGTACTTAATTTCCGTGTGCAGAAATGTGTAGGAACCCTGTATTTAGTGTTATATTTCAATTTTTAGTATATAAAATAGTTTAAAATTTTCTCGATAAGCAGTACGTTAGTACAAGTAACATATGTTTCCAGTGTTATTTTTAAAATTTTATTTTCATGCATTTAACAACAGTTTTATTCTTAAAGGTGAAGGTTGTATCATTAGGAGTTCAATGGGTTTGCAAAGCGTATAGTGAAGAAAATGTTCGTAATCAGTCCTTGGAGCAACCTAAATATCATGTAACTGGAGATGATCTTAAATCGTAAGTATTATAAATTAGCTACTAGGTTATATGTTGAAAGGCGTAGCTTGGCAGTTATGAATTGGCTGATTTTTCAGTTTAGATAAATCATTACTTTTGACTATATATGTCTTTTATTATTATCACATGTGTAAAAATTTTTTTGTATTCACAACTTTCATTACAAGCTGAATTTCAAATGAAATGCACTTCATAGCTGATTTATTTAATTTTTTGTTTGTTTGTTTTTTCAACAAGGGCAAACTTATTTACTATGAACAGAGATAGATTGTTAAAAATAGCTCTTACAGAGATTTATGTGGTGCTAAAAATCAAATATATGCTAAAAATAAAAAAATGAACATAAATTTTCTTTTAATAAAACAAAAAGTTTCAATTCTAGCATTTCTTAAAAGTTGCTAGCAGTATTATTAATAATTCGACTACATGCAAGGTATAATCTTGTCTTTCACATTGAGATTCAGTTTAGGAAAAACTGTGCTGCTGAAATTTCTGTAAACAATGTATTATTTATTTACATAATTTGCCTTAATTGAAGAATTTAAATGTTATGTAAAAGGTAATTTCACAGGTATATATATGTAATGAAACTGTGGTTCGATGACAACGACATGAATGATTTGATCATGAACGCGGTACAGACTTGCATTAAAATTTCTGGTGAAACAGGATTTTCCCCATGATTTACTGTGAACATAGCTTAAAAAACTCATGTGGAATTTTTCATAATTAGGACTGGCCGAAGAATGTAATGACAGAACAATTTTGGAGGCACTGAAATAAGAACACTGAGATGTAGATGCATAAAAATACTAATTGTGTAGACACTTGATGCTCAGAGCCTCCATTCATTTTGAAAAATAAGCAGTCAAGCTGGATTAAATGCCTTTTTTTATTTAAATTAACATTTTGTGGCCACAAGCACTTGGCACTCTACTCGTGCCTATTAAAGAACATTTACAATTTTGATATTATTGCCATAAAAGTGAATATAGCAGCACATACATGACTGCAGAAAGGCGTCTGGCCAAGACAAAAGCACAAGCAAAAGTGACGCATCAGTTCATACTAGTAAGAAGAGAGCGACTCGAGAGTTTCAGTTTTTAATTTTGGTTTACAATTTGGTGATTGGTCAAGAGGTATCTGCATTAAAGGTTACGTAAGATCGCATGATTAATTTTGATTACACTTTAGAGTTACAACACTATTTTTAGGACAGATAGATGAAGTTCCCAAATGAAATAAAAAATAAAAGAGGTTATAGTGAATTAAATTTAGAAGTTTGCTTTCATATTTTTTATCTTACATATATATGTATGAAGTTTCTAAAGTAAATTGGAGTCAAAGCAAGGTTATTCCTCTACAATATTAATATTAGTAGTTGTGTAAAAGAGGTGAAACACAAAATCCAAACATATCAAAATTAAAATAAGAATTCACAGTTGTACAAACTCTAAAAATAAAAAGAAAATGCAAAAGGGAAAAATACAAGATAAAGAAGTGTAAATAATAATTTATCTCCTTTTACTGAAATACTAATTCAGAACTCATCAGGGGAAATGAATTAAAGCTTCACGAAAGTCGATTAATATGTTTCGAAAATGTGTTTTGTTCTTCTGGTTTGTTTGAGATCTAAAACTGAAAAAAGAATCTAATAAATTTTTATTTAAGACACTAAAATTCATATAAAACCAAAATCCCAAATCTTAAATGTACCAGGATTTTCCCTACACGCCTTCGAAACGTTTGCTAATACGCATAAAACAAAACATTAGGCTAAATTGACTACTCAAAAAACCACAAAACTTAGACTATTTAAGAAAATTCAATTGGTCTAAAATCGTTATATATAAATCCAAAATTCAAAAGCAAATAAATATAAAAAGCAAAACTAATATGCTTTAAACCAAATTGTATTTTAAACACAATTTGGTTTTGAACACAAACACTGAAAAATTGGGTGGTCTTCGATTATGCTAAACTAAACTTTTAATGCCAAGAGGACGAAAAACTTATTGCTAAGATTCTTTAAATAATAAAATCAAATCTGAGCTTTATCAGTTAAAACTGGAAATCAATTTAGTGAAACATAAACAAAACTCGGAAAGATATTATCTATAAACCAAAATTCACTAATCTGGCATAACCCTTGGTCCTGAGGTGTACAAATTATTGCAAGCCTACTGTGTTAATAACAAAAGTAAATGCTTTTAACCGATTTTAGTTTTTTAATTTTAAGAAATCTTTCTACTTTTACTGTTTTTTTCAAATATGATTTAAGTGTATTTTGTTTATTTGTGCAGGTAAATATTTATGCTGTATGTTACACAGATAAATGTTTAAGAAAATGCATATGAAATAATTTAATCTGTTATTCATCATGTTTTGTCCTTTTCATGATGATTAAGGTTGGGTTGTTTGAATATGGCAAAACACAATGAGGCCTATCTGCCTAAGAGAAGGGATGCCTTCATGGAGGATTGATTATCTTAGGGAAACAGGCTTATATTCACATTACACATGAAGAAAACTAACTGCCCATTTACCTAGAATCAAATGCAGATCAAACTCCCAGTATTCAGTGGTCTTGAGCACTTGGCTACTTATTCTTGAAGAATGGTAATATTCTAATAACATAAGCTGAATGAAAAGTTTTGTGATTGACTCCCATATTCAGAATTAGAAGACTCTCTGATCTTGTATTTTTTCTTCTTCAAATTTGTGTTTTTCACATTGAATTAATTATACTTTGCACAGTATTTTATAAACATTTAAAAATATATATATATATATATATATAGATAATTTTTGTAACATACTGTTTAGCACTGCAGACATGACATTTTTGCTTATCTGATGAGAATCTGTTTCCATGTACGGTATTTTGTGGCATATAATATACATCTCTAATTCCAGGCTAAATTTTTAGGTTATTCGCCATAAAACGAACACCCGATTCTTCATGAAGAAACCTAAAAGATACACTTGCAATGCTCTTATCTTTTGAGGTCACTTATTTGAACAATTGTCCTAGCCTTTTGAACAATGGTAAACCGCACTGACAGTGATAAGGGGAACAATATGTACGTGGGTTAAATGCTTAGGAAGTAAATATTCCGACAAAGAAGGTGGATTGTATTCAACGCAATTGTCCGAAAGAATGCTATTGCAGAGCACTTCCTACTTGAACGAATTTGTGGAATTAGGAGTTAGATGGTTTCTCTTTCTGTAGTTATTTGAAGCTGAGATTTTGAAGTGAAAAATTAAAGGCTTTAGTAAATTGCATTTGCTTTAGTTGAAATATGGTTTATCTAGTGCTCTTTTTAGTAGTAAATATGGCTCCAGCGAAAAGAAACAAACACAGAGCTTGTTTCAAATGCAAAACCATTAATTTATAAGTGAAAAAAAAAAAATCAGCATTATATTTTCAAATTTTCACAGGACTGAGACAAATTTTCACAGGAGTGCCTATTTAAATTAAGAGACTATAGATATTTTTCAGTACTGATCTTCAAAATTCAGCTTTCATTTTTTTACATCTCAAAAGCTCAGCTTAAGATATTTATTAGATTTATTTAGAGCATATCATTATATATAAGATAAAATTGTTTATTTGAGGTAATATTTTTTTTGGGCCAGTTTAATACTGAGCCTCACATTATGTTAAAATATTAAGTTTTGTGAAAAATAACGCGTGAAAAATTTATAAATTTTTATAACTTGAGTTCCATAATGCTTATTGAGTTTGTTTATATAGATAATATCTCTTTGTGAAAGAATTTTACATTTTTTCCCCCTGATTCCTTTAAAAGGATAAAAATTATGTAATTTTTATGAATTTTTCTATAAATAAATAAATAAAATAAAAAATAATAGTAATTTTTTTTTTACAAAACTTATCTTTAGAGAATTCAAATTTGTTATTCAAAACGTTTCCAGATATGTCAATTTATATATTTAAAAATGCTTGGTGATAGTTTATAAATTGTTGTAACCTTAAAAATGTTACTGATGGCAGATCTAACAATAAGTACTGGCCTTTCTGTTTGCCATATGACACTGGCCTGTGATAGTAAGCATTGGCTTTTTTGCTCTTTTGTACTATACAGGTTCATTTTACTAGTATTTATTTTTCATGCCACATCATTTTCAATTAAATTAAGCAAATTAACTTTTACCAGTAGAATCTTCTAAATATCTTAATTAAAAGTAACATCAGGTGAAAAATTTTTTGAAAATTAGTAACATATTGAAATTTTTTAGCACACATGCTATTGATTAAATACGAAAGCATTATTTCCTTCTGTTCATACTGGAGTTTACATTCAGGTGCTGTAAATATTTCTTATACAACTCGGCAAGTATTCTATGTTGCCCTGTTTTTACCTAACAAATTTAGTTTTTGCTTTTATATATTGGGCTATCTGAAAAGTCATGACACATTTTTTTCTATGTTCTTCAAAGGTCCTTAAACATAAAGAACAATGATCAGTCAATAGTATTTTGCCCATTTTATTTAATTAATTTTTTCCCTTTAATTTAATGAGCTTTATAGTTTCTCATTCTAGCTTTATCTAGAACCTAGCTTTATCAGTGAAAAGCTGAACAAGATGCTGATTTATGTCCTCATCTGAACTGAATGTTATACCATGAAAGAAATTTTGAACAGAGCGAAACAGGTTAAAGTTGAGGGCACAAGATCGGGCGAGTGTGATACATGTGACATTATCACTTTTCATCCAAACTCTAGTAATTTTTATCAGGTGATCAAACATGTGGTCTTGCATTATCAGAATGAAATGCAATTCTTATTCGATTAATAAAGTTTCTGGATGAAGGATTCATTGAAACAGTACAGCTAGCAAAAGCACACCTTCAAATTGATTTGTTGGCTCATTGGTAGGAGATTGGAAACATGACCACACACAAGTTTGATCACTGACAGAAATTATTAAAGTTTGGAAGAAAGTGTTGCCATGCATATCAGATTCACCTGATTC